CATTGTCGAGCTAGTTGATGCTCCCGCAAAGGTACTCACGGGTGAGGGCGATGAACGCGATGAGAGGGAGGCCGGCCACAAAAACAATGAGCAGTGCCCAGTCGATGCCGGCGGTAGTAGTGTGTGAGCCCTCGTAGCACACTGTGCCCAGCTCAATGATGAGCCGCTTCTCAGGTGACGCCGCGTCGGTTGTCTCCTCCTGGCACACCACAGCCTGGCACGCCCGCAGCGCAACCTGGTAGTAAACCAGAAACGCGAGGACCAGATCGCCATCGACGTCCGCTACCAGATTCGCTGGCTGATGGTGGCACTTGTGACTGGCTTCGACGCGCTCGCAAACGAGGCGAACCAACTCTCGTCGTGGCTCTCGGTGCTGGACGATGCCTCCTGCTTTCCCGAGTATTTCGAGTCGGCAGCAGCGTCCGAGATGAGCTCGATCTCCAAGCTGGTGCCTGCGCTTGGTGTTGTAGCCTTGTCTTCGTCATTGCCATCGCCATCGTCGTTGGTCGGCTGCCACCGCAGACGGGCGGCGACCGAATGACCGCAGGCAGCAAAGACGAGCGAGGCGATGGTGACGCAGGTGACGGCGATGGCGAGGAGAGTCAACATGCCGAGGACAATGTCACCAATGTCGATGGTTGAATCGACGTAACACGCCGGCTGGATCATTTCGATGTCAAAGAGAACGACCGAGAGGACACGGAAGACGTCAGCGATCGAGGTGCCCGAGTCGCTGGTCAGCCGCGCCGACGCGTCCGCCTGACCGCCGCGTGGCGACAAAGAGGGTGATGTTGCGGGCGAGCATGATGCCAGGCAGAACGGCAACAGCAGGCAAGACGAGGAGGATAATGATGACCGCGGCCGTGACATAGCCGGCAAACGCGGAGCGATCCTGTAAGTCGCAACGGTGGGCGTCTGGAGCCGGGGGCACATGCGCGGTATCACCCCCCCCCCCCCCCCCCCCCCCCCGATGGTGCATGGTAGGGAAGGGGAGCGCCAGCCGCACAAAATTTTATCCGGGGGGTCCGTA